AAATTTATATATATATTTTTTTTACTTACGAGGGTACGCAATAGTATAGGTCATACAAACCCTCGGGGTTCCGGTGTTTTTGAAAAAAAAAGCTCATTTGTCAGTATGTCGGGTTCGAATGCAGGGCCGCTGGATTCGAACCCGGGACCTTTACCTTACAGTGATGAGCGCCGTGTCAACGACTAAACCTTGCGGCCACCGACGGCCCTAACTAGTGTATTTATTACCGATTTCCTAATGTTATTTGTAATTGGTGAAACGATTGTCGGCAAGTACCCTAAATTTTTGTGGAAAACTAGATAAGTGTTGGTGAAGACGATGATGAGTGCCAAAAAGGCAAAATATAATTAAATATGTTTAAAAAAATATATATATTTACTAGGAAAATACTGAATTGTATCAATTTGTATCAAAGATCTGAACTTTAAAATCGCAATCCTGAAATGTTGTGTTTTCGGACTATCCCCTTTTGTCCCGAGGGTGCAAATACAGATAACCGAAAAATCAATGTGTGGTGGTTAGTGACCGTTAATCGATAATTATTCAGAAATCGTGAGATGCGATCTGGTGTGATGTAGGTTTCAGAAAAACATTTTCTTTATCGTGCCAACGTTTCGATCTNAAAAATCAATGTGTGGTGGTTAGTGACCGTTAATCGATAATTATTCAGAAATCGTGAGATGCGATCTGGTGTGATGTAGGTTTCAGAAAAACATTGTCTTTATCCGTGCCAACGTTTCGATCTTTATTGAGATCATCTTCAGGGCCTGGGATTTACAACCATTGTTTAAATTTAACAAATACATGTAGGATGTGGAAAAAAGTGAATTTATACAATGCAAAATATATTTTTTATATTCAATCAAGAATTCTTCAAGCCCTGAAGATGATCTCAATGAAGATCGATACGTGTGGTGATTAGTGACCGTTAATCGATAATTATTCAGAAATCAAACATTTCTACACGAGAAGAACGAAGAACATGGGATTCTATGAACAAATTTCAACTACATATGGACACGCAGCTACCGCATCTCACGATTTCTGAATAATTAAAGATCGATATGTGGGCACGATAAAGAAAATGTTTTTCTGAAAGTTACATCACACCAGACCGCACCTCACGATTTCTGAATGATTAGAAAAAACAATGTTTTTTATCAATTAAACGTTAATTTTTCACTGGTGATAACTGACCTTTGATAAATTAAGTAAATGTATATCTAACTCCTTAATAAAGACAAATTTTCTGTAATTACAAATATTTGTAAGTAATTACAAAACCAAGCAAATCTTACGTAAATGTTAGACAAGAATTTGTAAAATTCACAAAAGTTTGTCTTCTAAGGAGTTTCGTATTTTGTTTGCTTAAAGTTATATTCTCATGGTTTTGTAAAGCTCTTTCCTTTGGCCTAACAAATTTGCAGTAAGACAAACATTTTCTGAGTACGGGGGCTTCATGGGCAAAATTTGTGAAAGATTGGAGTAACCCGAAAAGTGAAATGTCTTGATTAATATTGAGAATCAGGCTTTGACACAGATATCATCATCAAACCAAAATGATCGTAAGCGTGCAAATTTCAGGTTCATCACCCCTTAAGCCAGAAACACACTTACCCGATGCTACGCCATGCGACGCTACCCGATGCTTAGTTTTTATTTTAAAAATTAATTGTAATGGTTTAGTAGAAAATTAATCAAAACACCGGAATACGATTTTTTGATATAATGAATTTAACTAACAATTTATTGTACTCGCTTCGGCGGTACATATACTAAAATTGGAACAATTTATTACACGGTTTTGCTCATAAAATTTAATTAACAATTTATTTCATAGTTTTGCTCGTAAAATTACACCATTTTGTAATGTCGGGTAGCATCAGAACAGGACACTCATATTTTTTGTAGTTTATTTCAAACTAAGTACATGTAATTTTGTCGTTATATTAATTACAACATGTTATTTTAATGTAAACCAAATTAAACGAGATCAAAAATGCATAAGTTTTTATAAACATTGTTTAATTATGATGGTTAGGAGTAACTTTATTTAAAACAATTAAGTTTAACAAACAATTTATTAGATGGTTGTGCTCATAAAATTTAACTAACAATTTATTACAAGGTTTTGCTCAAAATAGTGCATTAAGAACAAAAGATGCGTTGCGATTGTGATAGTGATTATTGTGATAAACGCTGTGGACTGTACGCGACGTGTGCTTGCGTCGGATAGATGTGCACACCCCACCAAAACGTGGCAAGGCGTCGGGTAGCGTCGCATGGCGTAGCATCGGGTAAGTGTGTTCCTGGATTTAGACGCCGAATATCACAAAAGTAGTGGGTACAATAATCCTAAAGAAATTACAACCCGCTCAAAATGGAAATTTGTATTATTGTTTATTACGGTAACACGATGTCACCTGGCGTCCAATGACATATTGCTCGACGAAAATACCAACAATGTGATGCAGGTGTTTCAGACATTATGACAAAAAACAACAAATACGGAATAAATATACTTTATTCTGTAGGAGCTTGATTAACAGATTTTCAATTTGCATAATGTCCACTTTAAATACTTATTTTTACAGTTTAAAAGTGTTTTTTTAAATAAATTTACCAAGAAAATGTTTTATTGTTACAAATCAGCCACTTCTTTTTTAAATGAATGTGCAAACTTAGTCATAGCCTATTTCCTAGTATTTTAAAATTTATGCTTATATAATGCCTTCGCGTAAAATACAAAAGGCAGTTTTCGATTTGAAATATTTTTTTCTTGAGGGAAAGGAACTCAACTGGAGCTCAACTTAGGACCTAAGTCACCATCTGAAATGAATCCCGCGAGACAAATGAAAAAGTCTAAGTACACAACTAACGACGCTCATCCTCTGGAACGGATGGAAGCCATATGGGCTTGTATCTACGTCTTTGTTTTTGTAGCTGAGCTGCCGTCGTAGCCGTAACCCTTTTGGCCAAGAACACACGCGCGCACATACACAAAAAAAAATCCCCTTTCAGAATCCGGAGGACACTTCTGGTAATACACCACCAAATTTCAAAGCAATATTTAGAAAAAGTATTGCATTTTCATTAAGTACAAACAATTATTAATTAAGAATTAAAAATAAAGAGTTATCAGAAATTGACGTATTGTTTCAAAGTCTTCATAGTTTACAAAGTCTAATATTCAACCGGTTTTAAAATACAAACTTCTCCGGTTTATTAAACATCCAAGCTATACAATAAACCGTCAAATGTTTCTGATGGTAAGGCGGTAAATTTAGAAATCTATTCAGTTCACATTGTAAGGATACCAGAACCCACCCATTTTACTGCAAGGTAACACACTTCACGTCACGCCACCAATTAATCGAAGAAATTCGAAATTGGTCTGACCTCGCTCCCTCAGAGCACTAATTCCTGTGTTAAACATTAAAGACCGAAGAAGAAGTAAAAACTCAAATTTTGGTTTTATCGTGGTGATCGTAATAAAGTTGCGGACCAAAATTTTCGAGCAAAAGGTAGGACTATGTCTCCTTTATCAGGACTTTGAAAATATAAGGTATTTTATAATAAAAACAATCTCAGATTGAAAGAAGAATATGGGATCGACCACAGAACAGAAATTGGAAGAAAATTAGGTGCAATTATATCTGGTTATTAGATGTAATAATCTTAAAATGTTATAACCAGATATAAATGTTTACAACCTGAGGAAGGAGACGTCCATGTGGTGAATGGAAAGAGATCTGGAAGTAGTCTGGAAACATAACATTCTTTCATTACTGTTTCCGTCCAATTCCGGTGTCCCGATCATGATCTCTGGTAAGCATTGGACCCGTTGCTGGCCTTATGCAATGGAGACTCGATTCTACAAGTCTCCTTCTTACTGTTTCAGCGCTATCGGACATCTCCCGCACAGTTCGAAGTCTTCGAGACGCTTCAGCGATGTCTCTGAGTGTGAAATCTGTAAATCTGCGTCAGCTGGTCGTTTGGCTCTTGGCCGTCCCCCGATCCTGCTCTCCGAGTACACCGTGCAATCTCCTGGTACCACTGAATGCCTGACAGTGGCCTGACCGTAGTTTTAGGCAAATCTAAAACTCTTGCGGCGTAACGCTGATTTCTTCCTTCCTCAATGAGTGCCATGGTACGGGCAACTTCCTCGCTGATTTATGGGCATTTTTATAATCGTTTTGTTTTGCGCCAACGACACAATAGAGTGAGTAAGAGTGTGAATGGGACAAAATTTAGGATCTTATTGCGTTGGTGGCCGAAATGACCAAGCTGATGAGAGGCCCTGGAGCACAACCGACGTTTCTGGACGGACCAAGGTCGATCTTCAATTAGGTTAGTTATATAATAGGTGCTTGTTCTGTTCCACACAGTATTGATAGTTTTCTGTCCCAGGCGTGTGTTGAGAGTGGAAGTCATTATTGGCGTGAATTGTTTGAGAGGGTCGATGCCAGAATATCGGCTACCTAATCGACCCTCAATTAGGTTAGTTATATATAATATGTGTAAAGAGTATGGAGGAATATCGAGTACTCTACCAATAATTGAGTAATGGGATGTAAATGGAGAGAATGTATTTGATAATGGTGTGTGTGTTTTTTTTTGTAGGTGGACTGCGAGAAGTGATAGGCTCAACCCTGCACACGTTTGTACATACTGTATATATCCATCGTCGAAATATCATCTCTTTAAAACAGTATTACTTGAACTTTCGTGGCAGAGAACTTCGGACCGAAATGGCTAGAAAGCCGGCCAAAATATATAAGCTATTTGAGGTCGAATAATCGTATGCTAGCAGTTTACGTGAGCCCAATTGCTCTTCGTTTTGCCTCGGCGTAATCGCTCTGTGGTCAGCCGGGTTAAGCTTTACGAGTTTACGTAACAAAAGAGCAAATTTCATTATCAACAAAATTATGCAAGAGTTCGGCATAGACTGAGGAAATCGTTAAACACGCTTTGATCAAATAATTTATAAATTTTATTACCCTTTAACGTATTTGCAGTTGTTTGAACAGCATTCGGAACGATCCGAGCTGATGGCGTCGTCAGTGATGATGCACCGGTTGAAAAAGTCGTCTCTTTTGTGCGAGTACCGCCTGTCCCGGTCCAGCGTACCGGAAAGGGCATGTGGGTAGCTGAAACAAAAATTAAAGAGTGGATTATTTTTGAAATTGACTTATAAAAAGTAATTTGTAATGCAAATGCAAGACATTGGCTTACCGGCGTGTCCATAATATTTATTCAACTATCGGAAAATTTTAAATATAATTAATCTTTATGTAATAAGGTATTGGTTGAAAGAAGTAGTTTGGTCAATCGGACCGCGAAATATAATGGACTTAAATGTAATACCCAATGTATTAGATTTCGTGGTCCGATTGACAAAATAACATCTTTAAATTAACTAATCTTTATGTAAGGTATTGGTTGTGATAAAAAAAAGTCAGCGTCACGAGTGGGATTCGAACCCACGACCTTCGGCTAAATACGCCGCTGCTCTACCACTTGAGCTATCGTGACTTCGGCTCAAGTGGTAGAGCAGCGGCGTATTTAGCCGAAGGTCGTGGGTTCGAATCCCGCTCGTGACGCTGACTTTTTATCTCAACCAATACCTCACATAATGTCCAATGTCTAAAATTAGATCTGTCCCTTGGGGGTAAAACTGAATATGTTAATTTTAAATCAACTTAATAAATTATTATTACATTTTGCCTTATTTTGTACTACGCATTTCTCTCAATAATCAACGGTCATCCTTTTTCAAAAAAATTCAACCTTTGTGGTTATGAACTTTTCAATCATTTCATTTTGGCAGCAGTCCAGCCGATTCTAGTCATTCCGCTCGATGAAGACAAACCGAAATGAATCTCGATAACAACCAAAGGTATACAGGCTGTACTGTACATTATACAGGGTGGTCAATCTGTCGTCTTAAAAAAAATCAGTGGTAGTATCTAAAGTGGAATAGAATACCGTAAACCTCATGGTTTTATCTCAATTCGTACAAAAGTTTGATTTTTTAATGATTATTTATGAGAATCAGGTTTCTTTACATAAAACTTTACAAAATAACTCTACAAATTCAATTTGATTCAAGAGTTCATCTTTCCTCAATTTTTCACTCCATGTTTAGATTTACCACACAATTCCTTAATTTCCATTTAGACTAGTTCACTTTTCTTCTAAAAATTGCCGGTCTACTTACAAAATAACTGCACAAACATCATGCAATTTGAAAAATGACAATTTTCGATCGATTTCTTTAAACTGTAGCTTCAATAAATTACATTTTTAAAAAGTCAAACGAGCTAGAAATATCAACATTTTATGAGCTTTCCGACGGTATTATTTGAAACATTGATTTTTTAATATTTTTGATGGGTAATTTCAGTTGGATGTTGACAAAACGTGGTACGGGACGATGATCCGGCACGTAAATTAATAATTATCAAATAAATTCTGAAATAATTTATTAGTAAAGAAACAGACTGTTCTTCAGACTAAAAACCCGATCAACTCTTGAATCAAATCGAATTTGTGCAGTTATTTTGTAAATAGAACAAGGGCTAGTCTAAAAGGTAATTCGATGCTAAAAGTTGGGAAAAGTTATGTTAGAGTGGAGGAAATTCAGGTATTATGTAAAGAAATGTGTTTTTCTTAAATAAACACTAAAAAATGGTAACTTGTGAATTGATGTAAGATAGATTATGGCATTATATTCCACTTTAGACAAACTGTTACGGAAAGTTTTTTTGAGTTGAGCACCCTGTGTAGGTCTATTGATATTTTGTTACTGATATGTCGCACTTTTGATGTACCTATATTGACAACAACGATATATCATAAGATATATTTCTTCACTTTCTATTTGAAAAACACTTTCCATTTGAAAGCTTACTATAATCTATAACTATAATCATTATTATTTAAAAAATCCAACATGTTTAGTGGTCTAATTGACCAAATTACTTTTTTCAATTAATTATCCTTTTTATGTAAAGTCTTGGTTGAGATAAAAAAGTTAGTGATTCGAACCCACGACCTTCGGCTCGATACGCCGCTGCCCTAACCACTCCTCGTTACTGTAGCTCAAGAGCAGCGGCGTATTGAGCCGAAGGTCGTGGGTTCGAATCACTAGCTTTTTCATTTCAACCAAGACTTTACATAAAAAGAATAATCAATTGAAATTATTTAAAAAGTATAGTCTTTTGACGAAATTTACGTGAGTATACCAAAATGCATTAAAAGATAAAGCTGTCAATTCCTTGATTAGCGATGTTACGGCAATCATTCATTATGTAAAACAAATTCAATAAAGCTAATGATGGGCTGTGAAATTTATTTTTGAAAGTCGAAGTTCTAGGGGGGAATCTATCATTAATTAAAGTTCCAACAATGTTAATACTCCATCCAAAATTGAAATAGTCATAGCAGTAATAGTATTGAATTGAATAAATGACGGTTGAATGTAGTTGAGTAAAATATATTACCTTAATCCTTTCTTGTCCATCGTTGCCTCAGGGCAACACCAAATTTAGCTAATTTACTAAAGCTAAGCTAATACCATGAGTTTAATGTTTCTTTGGGCCTTTGAATTGGCAACTGATGTTTTTATCCCCAATCTAAAATCTCCGTCTTGGAATTTTCTATCTCCATCATGTCTCTTTACCGTACCATCTTGTATCGATTCTTATATTAGCCAAAGTAGACATAAAAATTATCATATCCAGTTTATAAGTTTTCTTACCCAAAGTTGTTTCAGAGCAACGCCAACTTTAGCAATTTTGTTTAAGGTTAGCAAAAATCCCTGAGTTTAGGGCGGGCACCGTGTTGTTCCTGACCTTTCTGCCTGTGTATGGGCAACACTGACTTATTTGGCGCCAAGCTAATTTTTCTATCCACTAAACTCACGGGATTTCCTACTAACCTTTTTACAAAATTGCTCGTTCGTCTTGCTCGAAGACAATACTAAGCCATAAAGGATTAAGTAATGTAATCCCTATAGTGTGTTGCGTTTCACAATTATACTCCTGAATTAGTTTAAGCTCCAGCATTGGATCAACGTGAAAAACAAAATAATTAAGAAGATCGAAATATTTAGTAACCTGGAAAATAATTTTTTGGCCACTGTATCTACCCTCATAGATCCGAGGTTTAAAACACTCATTTTACTAATCGGACAGCCATTGCGACAATACACAAACTTGGCCGAATTATGTTAATGCGGTGGTATTCTAGATCCCGATTCAAGTTCGGAGTTAGATCTCCTACTTTGGATACATGGACCCACCATAATACATTGTCTATGCTTTAAAAAATTCAAGATCCTTTCATGAGGCAAGGGATGAAACATTTGTCTCCAAATCTGTTCGAACTTTCAGAAAACCTTCCAACAATTCCGTCAAAGTGGGTACCAAGCGAAAGTCTTTTTTCAAAGGCTGGAGGTACGGCATACTGGTAACGGACCCGACTCCAGTTAAAAATGCTGACAAAATTTTCATTTTTGTAATCAGTGCCCACAGGACTCCTGCCATTGCATTTCCTGAATGTAATTATATTTTTCGATAGCAAAAATCTCACCGATGTGGAGAGGCAGGTGGCACTACATGTTCTTCGATTATGTCTTGTATCTCTGTGAAGTTAGAGATCCTCCGCGCACAACACGCAATTCGGTGCGGGCGCCCAAGGAAGTGCCACCCAGAACACCAAGGGCCCACCATGAAATGTCACCCGAGGTCAACCATAGAGCATGGGATATGCCCATATGAGATGAATATTTGAGACCAACTCTCATCTCATGTGTACAGAGAATTCGCGCCCAATATTCCGACGTCCAATTTACCATATTCCCGTGCGAATACAGTGTTTTCTGAACTCAGTGGTAAGACGAGGTCCAAGAACCGGGGCCGAGCCCTGAGGTTATTTTCATTGAGCTTTCTTCTTACAGTCCTGGAGGAAATCGAAACGTTCGGACTTGCCTTATCAGATTTCTTATCTCATTTCCGAAATGCTATGATTTGTACAGCCTGATGACGGATGATAAATATCGATACACTCGTCTGTAGACCTACGTCGTCCCTGCTATGGCTTTCTAGTGTGAAGCCCTGTTCCACTGAAGCGCTGAAGAACCCTTCCTATTTGATAATGACATATACTCGACTTCGCGGCTGCTCTATTCTTCCTATAAGAATATTATGACCCTGACTCTGTCATACTCATTCGAATGCCTGACTTTAGCCATTGAAAAAGTTTTAAGAATGAAATAATGGCAAATGAAATCAATGAAGGAAAATGATTAACTGAATGCAATGTTTGGTGTAGCAGAATGGAAGGGCATAAGGTACTTTTTGGGCCAATAAGATTAATCTGTGCAAAAGTAAACAAGCGTTATTTACTGTTTATTTTGACTGTGGTAGCTCCGAATTACCTATAACTAATATAGAAAGGGAATTGATTTAATTTCAAATTAAATAAATAGAGTGGTTCTTCAAATTGTTTCATCAGTTTATGTCTCGTCCCCCACATATCTTATGTTTTATTGTACAAAGGTTCAAAAGTTATATTGTTTTATTGTTATATTATTTGTAATATAGTAATATATCATTTGATAGGTATATCGATATAATTAATTCCATTTCTAATAATAACTCCCATTTGTTTGAAAAATCAGCCCCTGTATTCGTAATCAAGAATGAATTGGTTTGGAAAATTAAACCAGGCTGAAAAAAATCCTGAATTTGAAGGCGAGCATCGACCCCCGAATGTAATTCAAGTTTATACCATCCTTTTCAATAATCTAGAATTAATCATTATTTAAAAAAAATAATATTCGCAATTATTCATCAGTGTCTTCGAAGCATGGGACATAATTAACACACGAACAAAGCAGTTTTGAAAGTTTTTTGCCTGTTTTCCAAGTCTGACATCGAAATTCTGCATAATAACTTAAAAATTTGTTGATCGTTAATCTATCTCGGGTGTAATTTGGAAATATATTTACGGACTGCATTATTCATTTATACAACTCATAGGATAAGATAAAGATGCACGCTCAGTGCTAAATAAGGTAGTTAGTTCGAGTAAGAGATGCACTATCAAGGAAGTAAAACAAGATTATAGATCGTCTAAAGTTTCC